AAAATGCATAAGTGCAAAAAGTTGAAAGACCTTGTATGCATGGAAGGCTTAACTGAAAGAAAAGTCAAATATTGAGGACCAAATTGTAAAAAATCAAAGCTTAGAAAGTTAACTTACAAATTACTAGAGGACTTATGTGCAAAAAGAAAAAAAAATGGGTATGATTGTTTTGGTAGAAACATGGCGCCTAGGTGCCATTTTTAATTGAAAACTGACCTGGGTCCATTTTAAATAGTTTTACAAAATCTGGGAACTTGTGTTGCAATTTCTCTAGGTTGTAAGAATTGAAAACGCAGCAGCCTGTAGGGATTTTTTTCTTCTTTTTCTCATTTTTCTTTCTTTCTTTCATTTTCTATTCTTCTCCTTATCAATTTTTTGGTATTTTTGTGGGAAATTAGAGCACAACAAACGAGATTCAATCAAGGAGTTGGAAAAATTCAAGAACAAGGATTTTATTATCTTCAAAAATAAACCAAAGCGGGTTCTATCTCTTTTCTTGTATTTAAGTTAGTTTTTTTCCAAATTTGTAATGAATGTTATAAATACTCTCATATTTTATTATATATGTAACATGGGCTAATTTATTGTGTTGGGATTTATGGTAATAGTTTAACCTAACTTTAATTAATTTTAATATTTGCTCTTTAATGCTAAAATTCTTATTTTCATGTTTATTTATTATTGTATTGAATGTCTTTTATTTATTTGATCATTAAATGATTGAGTTTAGTGACTTATACATCGTTTAAGATAAGACTGGACATTTTAGACCAAATAGTAAATTCTAAAATGCTTATTTTCATGTTTATTTATTATTGTCTTGAATGTCTTTCATTTATTTGATCATTAAATGATTGAGTTTAGTGATTTATACATTCAACAGAAGACTGGACATTTTGGACCAAATAGTAAATATCCTAAATTTGTGTAGGAAATAGAGATATACCCCTAATTCTAGATAGCTTATTGAGCTATTTTCACAAAGAATTAATGTAACTGTTTTGTTTTAATTGACATAGAGATATAGTATGTTAAACCAATCAATTATGGTTAATTTCGTTCTTTTGGTAATTAACTAAATTGGAAAATCAGTTCTAACATCATAAATGAATAATTCGTTAACTGACTTATGGAGAAATTAATTAGATGATGGTTAAAGGAAACCACGAGTCCCAACCATGTTTTCCTCCAAAATTTTTTGACCTTTTTATTTTTGTAGATTTTTATTTTATTTTTCCTTATTTTTCAAAATCAAATCATTTTTGTGTATTTGTTTTTATTGTTAAAATTAAATTGATTAAAGTTGTGTAATCGGAAGTAAACATTTCTGGAGGGATCGACAACTTAAACTCAAAAAGTCCACTTTATTACTTGAATGCGACACGTACGCTTGCGATTTTCACTTTCTTAGCGAACAAACCACACTATCACTATTCCCCCAGCTTTTTCCAAATTGCAGCCCCAGCTAAGATCAAAAATCACATCTAATAGACTGGATTGTGATTCTTATCAAATAAAGGTCATAATCAGAAGAAGAATTTCAAGCGATGAAGAGAGAAAATTTGGAGAGTTTGAGATGAAGAATGAGAGCAAGAGTGTAACCGAAGTGAGGCCATCTGATATTGAATCTTAACCATGGATTCAATTCAAAAGTTGAGATTAGGCATGGACCGGCACAATCCACAACTCATATCATTGTCCAATCACGTTGTGTCACATAGCTTCCATTGAGTTACAATGCATGTATGAAAGTGATCGAATTAAAATTTAAGTGATCAAAGACTGCGAATCTTACGGAGAGTATGAATTATAAGTGCGT